GCAGATCGCGGGATGTTGGTGCCGTCAGAGAGGGAGAGCATCCAGTCGGCCCAAGCCTCTGATAGAACGATATATCCGAAAGGACAGAGGTGATAAGGATCTGCATCGACAGTCTCCATGCGAGCGTGACTGCGCTGGATCCGCACGATTTGTGCGCGCCGTGCAGTTGCGCCTGTTGCTGCGATTTCACGCCGCGGGTCATACACGATGCTGGCCTGCTCTGGGTTCGTCGCACGCGCAGAAGGACGCGCCGGTTGTCTCTGTGCCGAGAACGCACTGATGCTGGCAAAAACCTGCTCCTGTTCATGAAGGATGTTCATGTGCTTGCGAAGGGCGTCGCCCAAGCCACTCGACTCCACCACAGCAACCGCAGACGACCTACACCGCTCCAAGAAGTCCCGTGCCTTTCTGCCATCTACCCTATCCAAGCGCTCGCCATTCTTGAGTCGCGATGAGATGACTGCCTTCACAATTGTGACGATGGCCTGGCAGCCGTAGTGGCGTGCTAACCGCGCCTCCATGTGGAAAGGACTATACGAGGCGTTCCCTGGATGCGGCATTGCCAGCGTGAGAGCGACGTCTGTGTCATTCAGTCCGTATTGGAATATCGTTAGAACGGCTTGAATATCAGCAAACTCAGTGCCACCGTTGTACATAGGGGGAGGATGCTGGCTGACAGGAAATGCAGAGTTGAAGTCGGATGGTGTCGTTCCAGCAAGCAGGGATACACGTTGTGCTTCAGTGAGCATTTCCAGTGTGCTTGCGAGGCCATCTGATCGAACAAGGAGTGCAAGTATGCTGGACCAGGTGCTGACGAAGACGGGACGGACAGCGAGAAGATACCGAAGGAACCAGGAAGCATGAGCATGAAAATCGGACTGGCTTGTCGTATGGCGCCAAAAATCGATTCGGGGACCGATGAAGCGGACGACCATGCTAATCGGAACGCTTCCGGCCAGCGGGATCTCGGGATGAAGATGATGGAGGACCCGGCGATCTTGAGCCAGCGCCCGCCCAGCCGACGCATCATAGATACCTCCAATCCTCCCAGTAAACTCTTCGGCCGTGATATCCTTCAAGACCTGCACGTGGATGACGTGACCGTGCAGTTTTCGAATCACGTCCGCACTGTGCACCTTTGAGGCCTCCAACGCCCGCGCCGAGATATGAAGAGAAGAGGGATGCAGGCGCTGCAGGTACCTGCTTTCGTCATCGGCGAGACCGCGAAGGAGCGCCACGAGCACAGGATCCTCCTCTGTACCCAAGTCCATTGGCCTAATCATAGCTAGCCCTCGCTTAGCTGCAGCAGAAAGCTCGACAGGACATACCCGATCGGCGCCTACGCCGCCCAGCGCAGAGTTCAGCCCAAGTCCACCGCATGCGCTGATAAGCAGGCTCTCCGTGAGACCGATGCGACTGTCGGTGCGGGCATCCAGTGTGCTACTGGCCGGGAGCTCGAGGTCGACGATGCGGAAGACACGAAGAGGAAGCGGAGGGTTAGGCTGAGCGTTTACGGACTGGACAAAATTGGTGGCCCGTGTCTGCTTCCCTGCCAAGGCATCCTGCTGTGCACGCCCCCAAGCGTCCACGGCAATTGTATATCCAAAGTACAACAAGGAACCAAATCCGCTCGCGGTCCCCGCGAGAACGTTCAGCCTGCTGATATCAGGATTGGCTCTGAGAACTTGGACGAGCTCGCGTGCAGCATCTCCATGGTGGTGCGGCTCGAACGATGCAGCCAGCGTAGCTTCGATCGTGTCGAGGTCGACGCCCAGCTTGAGGAGCAGGATGACGGCGTGGGGAGCATCCCCCGGATGACTTGTGAGGTAGGCGAGGATGTCGGTTGCGACGTTCACGGATTGACGTATACGGATGTACATTTTAGCGACATCGTTGGATGGTGTGATGCTTGATTCCTCCACCAGAACGCCTGCCTGGACCCAAGGTGCATAGTCGAAGTGAAGAGGATTCGCTATCACGGCCGCTAGCATGGGAAGGACAGGAGTGACACGGCTCCATAATTCGTCGTCGTCGGGAATCGGATACACGTTATCGAACGCGCGCTGTACAGATACAGCAGCGCGGACAGTGTCGAGAGGACTGGCATCAGGCAAAATTGAATCCTCGACGGCTAAGCAGCGCGCGATCAACTTGGACACAGAGGCACCGAGGACCCTGGCCCACTGAGCGCTCTCGCGTTCTGCCTTGCTGATGGCATCGCGTTGACGTTTCTCGTACGCGGTCGTCCCCTTTGTCGCCCTGGCCTGGCACCGACTTGCGTTCTTTGCCAGCCGCTTCGCGAGTTTCACCTCCGCAGTCGCTGGCTATATACAGGGCTCAGCAAGTCGGCAGTATACATCGAAGCAGTGCTTACCGCATTGCCGCGCCTCTTGACCGGATGGGCCAAACCCGCGCTCTCACTGATAAAGGACTGATGAAAAGATAAGCGTCGTTTATGAGCACTTGTGGTGAACATGGATGCTCACGTCTGACAGTCCAGTGTTTCCAGTCCTGTCACCTGCACTACTGTCCTCGCAAGATCCCTCACTCTCCACGCAATCGCTGTAATCGCTTTGAAAACAGTTAGAGAGTGGAGGGATATACGTTAGACACCACTTACGTCGAGTCTCCACGGTTATTCCCGGCGATGGCGAAGAGGGCGTGCTGCATAGCGACGTCGTCGTCGTCGTCGCTGTCTGCCATGGCTGGTTCTACTGCAGATGACGAGCTGTGGGATTATCAGTCAGCGGAAGGGAGACTTCCGGTCAGATCAACTCACCTGGACGCGCACAGCAAATTGGTCTCATAGCAAACACTGCGCTTGGATGCTTGGATGGCAGCGGCGAGCTCCATCGCATATTCGTCCCCCAGAGACGCCTCCTCGACAACGTAGTCAGGTGTGTCGTTGCTTGCTTCGGACGGCACATCTTCTATGAGTATGTCAGAGGGTGATGGCGTAGCTCATGCGCATGACAAACGCGTACCCCGTGCCTTGCCCTTGCCCTTGCTCAGGCGGGATATACGCGGGACTTCCAGGTCGCTGTCGCTGTCGCTCACGTATCCTTGCACGCGCTTGGCACGCTTTGACGCGATGGGAGGCTGTGTGTATGTTAGTGGCGGTAACGGTTGACGGCGTGACAAAAAGACTCACCGAAGACGGGGCATCATCCTCAGAGTCGTCAAAGTCGGTCGCGGGCACGATCTCGTCGTCGAACCGTGCGCGCTTTGGCGCGTAAATCCTGGCCGGTCGCGGTGTCTCTGGTGCCAGGACATCGCGCTCTCCGCTGTCGCTTGTCGGCACGATATCGCCGTCGTCTACGGGCCCCTCGTCCTCCGAGTCGGGGACGACGTCGTCTTCAGTGAGGGCCGCGAAACTGTTGGGTGTCCCGGGGTGCCGAGCATCTGCCAGGCGCACGTCGCCGCTATCGAACTCGTCCATGTCGATTGCTTCGACCTCTGCGCGCGCGCGTTTACGCGACTGAAGGAAGCGGTAAGTAACATGGTCACTCGTAGACAAAAGAGGCGCACCTGGGATGTGAGCGCAGTCGAGAGCGCGTGGTCCTTCGCGAAAGACTGGCCCATCGCACCAGTCCTCAGTTCCTTGTCAAGCTATAATGTGCATAAGTCGACGCGAAAACCCGAGAGACCGCGACGCACCTTTTCCAACGCTGCCGGCTGGCCTGTAGCCTCCTCGTTGCCGGGTCCGTCCCGAGGGCGTTTTTTGTTGCGCGAGAGCATGACGGCAATTGCGACGAGAGGGAAAGCAAGGGCACGGCGCGTCAATTACTGGGGACGCGACTCGGGACACGATCGACATTTTTGCCCGATACTTGCTAAATCATTCGCAAAGTCAGTTTAATGGGCTGGTATTGTGAAGATATGTGCTTGAATACTCGCAGTACCCCAGATCATGGCGCGCGCAAGTCTCGGCGTCGATATACTAAACGCTCGATCGGGTCAGAAGCGACCCGGTACAGTGTTCAATATGTTTTGTCGGCAAGACACGCGCGCTCGACGCACAACTGTTGTCGCATGTTCGTCCCCTGTAGACAGCCGTGTTATCGTCGACGATGGCAGTCTCGACATGTAAAAAAATGCGTACCTTTATTGCAGAGTCGCGCGATGAGTCCACGTCGGTTGCCGTTGGATCTGAAACATAGTGAGCTTGTTTTTAATTCAGCACATACATACGAGAATATTCGGCGCGACACGACGCCCGATGCACTTCACGCATGCACGGGCCGTGCTGTGCAGAATCGGGGCTGCGCTCGAACAACGAGCCGGCATGGCAAGGGTGTGGCTTCAAGATTCTTGGTCTGACTCTGGGTCCGAGTCCGAATGAACGTTGTGTGTAATGCAGATAGCATTGGCTAGCCCAGAGATTGACAGATATAACTACGCAGTGAGTCTAGATAGTCGTATATAGGCAGCCGTGGGCTGAATGTCGAATGGGAGATGGTGACTGGCGATTGACCACGGTTGAACGAGTTGAACGAGGAATCGACGTCGCGTGGCAAAGTCCCGTTTCGGCGGCGAGGTGGCATAAATGATTTGGGAACTCGCTCAGATAATCAAATCGTGCTCGCCGAGTTGGAAAGAAAATATATGATTAGCTTGCAGGCTTTGCATGCTGCTGGGATTGATCTTGAAGCTTGCAATGGGAAGGAACATGGGTAGGAACAGAAAAGTCGATGAGGTCATGAAATTCGACACGTTGATCCTTGTCGAAACTCATGGGGGAATTAATAGCCCCTGACAGCTCCAGCTCGACGACTCTATCCATGGCTCTCGCTTGAGGCACCGTACCAGCAGTGCACATACCCGCGCCTTGAAAAATGCATGAGATGTGGATGGACAGTGCCCCCTTGACTATTTATATCCGACGAAACAAAGATTTAGTTCTTACAACGGCACTTTCACGAGTTTTCCTTCATTCTACTTCTTTCCTTGACGGTTTTCCCTCTACATTGTTGTGTGCACACTGCCAGAGCATAGAAAAGGGCGCAATGGTCTAGTAGCATGATTCTTCCTTCGGGAGTTGCATCCCCTGTGAGTGCACAGCGACTGGAAGAGGTCCCGGGTTCAATTCCCGGTTGCGCCCAATGTTTTTGCACTTTTGCCGTTGATTTTGAGCGGCGCGGCTAGGCTGAGGCGCACCGAACACCACAATTTCGATGTCTGTGAGGAGTCCTCACACCAGAATCTACACCAGAAATAGTGAAGAAACAGAGGAGAATGAAGCAGAACTCACTAGTAAATACTAAATTACCATTGGCAGCCTGAGAAGAACTTTCAATCTGACTGGCTCCGAGAACTATAAAGGCTAGTGGGGGCACCTTTTATATGTCATTGGTACACATCTCCTTATTTTTCCCAGATCCTTTGAGAGTGGTATGCATACGAGCAGGTACCCGCCGACACTTACATTTGGTTCCAGGAGTCGGAAGAGTTAAAGTCGGCGCGTCGCAGAAACTTCCGAAATCCGATAGCCGATGCTTTGCGACGCGAACCTCGAGGCTCGCAGTCGTCGACGTCTTTCATCGAGCTTCAAGTCTCGGTCCACAATGTCCTCGAGACATTTCGTGTCTCATTGCTCGCACAGTTAATCAATGCTATATTAGTGCATAGGCGGTGATAGTTCAAAACAAGTTTCCTTACAAATTATTGTACAGCATCATCGTTGGAATACAGGGAGAGGAATGCAACTGGAAGACTTGACGGGCCACTTACCCATTAAGGAACCATTGACAAGTCGGAAGGATACTCATGCAGAAAGGTCTCAACCAAATCGCCCACGCCTCCACCCCAATAGCGCTTTACACACATCGTTGAGATTGTTCTCGGTGTCAAGTTGAAGGGTCTGCAGCTCAGACATATTCGTTTCCGACAAGCTTGCATAAAATTTCGCAAGGATGGGGCCTAGTGTCACGGACACACTGTTATCGTTCAAGCAGAATGCCAGCGCCGAGCTGACGTGCAGGCCAGTCAGCATAGGTCGTGGACACTACACCAGGCGCACCTTGTACTAATACCCATTCCAGAGTTGCCAGCGCTTGGTGATCATCTTCTCGTTCTTGCGCTTCCATTGGGCGAGCAAATCCACGACCTCCGGCTCCGCCATTTCCGCTTTTTTTTTTTGCTGAGCGTCGAGGTGCTCGAAGCGGGCGCAGTACTCGTGCGAGTTCTGGAATGCAACGTCGTACTGTGTTTTGACCCAGACTTTGCCGCAGTCGCCTCTGCAATTGTTTGCCCAGGTGATCATGAACTTGAGGTCCTCGATGGTGCGCAGCACGCGGTCGATGCATACAGTTCCGGGGCCGGCAGCTGTGGTCGCGACGAGGGTCTTGAAGACGCATGAGAACTAGCACGGCCGCCGGACGAACGGCCGACGTACCTCAAAGCGTAGACGGACACGCTCGTTTTCATCTTCTCGGTCAATCTGCGTTGACGAGTCGCAGCGCTGCTGAAACGTTGCAGAGATTGATTTATGACGACCAAGTAGACGGATCTGTTGAACAGTATGAGCAAGCACTCGATGGGAACGCACTTCTTCAACGCCTGAACCGATGTTCTTCATGGCCTAGAAAAGAGGAATTTTCATCGAACGGTCAGGTACTTAGCTACAAATTATCATTCGCGATCGGGGATAGTCTGTTCAAGCTTTTAAAAAGTGCGGGGACCTGCCAAAGAGAAAGCTTCAATGTGCGTGCACTTACCCATTCATCGGTCTCTGCGGGTGCAAAACCGCGCACAACACGACTGAGCGCCTGGTCCTCCGCAGAAATCTTCGTTTTGGGACGACCGAGGAGAACAACGTTGGCAGCAGTCGCAATGGGGATTGTAACGGGCTGTCAGAGTTCGGCGCGTATGGCCGCACCGCGACTGTCGATCTGCATCTGTCGGTCATTCTTGCTCGCCGTCAGTCGGGGAGACCGTGTGTGAGTGACAGTGCTGCTTACCTGTGATGTCGACTTTTTCCTCCCTCTAGCTAAGCCCGCGTCTTCTTCGCTCGCAAGCGACGTGCTTAACGATGAGACTCGGCGCTTGAGTATTTTACGAACGCGTGCTTGCGTAGCCGGCGACGCATTTTCTACATCTTCGAGCACGTTTTCGAGCATTTCTGCAAATGATTGTAGGCGCGAGGGAGATAAAGACGCCATTACTGAGACTGGTGACACGGTCAACGACGAAAATGGTGATTTTGAGTCAATTGACACTGGGCAAAATGAGAGTCAAGAACAAGAGACGACGCGACCTGGACGCGACATCCAATCCCTCCTGCATTTCTACCACGGTCTACATCGAACTACCCAACAACTCAGAAGGACTGTCACTCTCTGGATATACAGACTAAATACTCCTATGGGCACAGTAACCCCGCTTTGCTACTCTCTTCCATCTAGCAGCAGCGTAAAATGGACAACCACCCAGGAGAAAACCGTCTCCCGCGAGTACCCGTTCACCGACCTCGCCTCGGAGACGCCGGAGCAGTACGTGGCCAGAACTTACCTGCAAATCCTCTGGCTGCCTGATGTGCGTGTATCCGACCCGCAGAGATGCTCATACACCGACCCGATGGTATTGACGCGTGAACGATAGTCGATAATGCCACTGCATCTCCTGGTGCCGTCGCTGCAGCGCGTCGCCTCTCAAGACGCGTCGCCACACCCGCTACACGCGCTGCTCGAGCCGCTCTTTCTCAGTATGAGTGGCGTTTCCAAGAAATACCACACGGAGCTCGCGCAGATCCTCTCCGACGGCGGTGGCGCTGGCGAGCTTGAGGAGACAATGATGTGGTTCGCCATCGGGCACGAGAAGACTGAGGCGGGCGAGGACGAGGACGGCGACGCGGTCCACGACGACGTATGGCAGGCTGCGTATCTGAAGAAGATGGTGCGCAGAGAGTGAGTACATTGGGCTCGTTATACTTCACACGAGCATAACAACTTTGACGGCAGAGTTCAGATCCAAATCATCCTTCATTTCATGGCACTGTCTCTTCCTGGACCACCACCCGTCCCTGAGACGCGTGGACGCGCTGCGAAACGCGGACGACCACCGCAAACTATAGAGGATCGCCTCGAGTCATTCATGGAAAGATTCTCTGTGTGGCAAATGCAAGATTTCTTGGATGCCCACTCAAATCTGGGTGAGAAGGCAAAGGCGACGGAGGGACAAGACCGGGATTGGATGCAAGCGTTCTATGAGGATATAATTGAAGTACAGTAAGCAGAGTCCGTGGTCACTGGACGTTACTCCCGTTGAGCCAGACCTCATAGATTCAATGGCGCGCTGCCCGATTTATGTGCCGACTTTCGCTCTGAGTTATTCAAATCGTCGGCTCACGCCTCCACCTCACAACTGAACTCACCTTCCCGATCCCCGACGCGTTCTCCCTCTCCCATTCCTCCCGCCGCAGTCGCGACGAAAGGAAAGGGCCTAAAACGTGACCGCTCGCGCTCTTTGTCCGTGTCACTGGCCAAAGAAGAGCAAGAACGCAACGGGAGCGCAGCCACCGGGAAGCGGAGGGCGCTAAACAGGGAAGTGAGCATGTCGCGCGTGTTCAAGGGCAAGAAAAAGGAGGTCGTGACGGAGAAGAAGGCGGGCCTTGGCACAGCTAGGACCGGGGGCGTCGAGAAGGAGAAAGCTCCCATGCCAAGGAACGACAAGGGTGTGACATTGGTAGCGGCTACTCCGGTGAAATCGCGCTCGACGTCTGCCTCAAGGTCCATGAGCCGATCCATGTCGACGTCAATACCACAGCCACGACTCTTCTCTGCATCCGCCTCTACATCCCAAGATCGCATCCAAGGTGGCGCATTCACGCAGAAAGGAGAAGACGAAGGTGGCGAAGACGAGGACGACTGGGGTATCCAGAGCTCGCCGGATATTCTGCTCCTTGGAAGCAGTGGCACATCAGGTGCTACGGACGATTGGGAAGATGGTATGGAAATTGACGAGGGGGAGGAACGTATGACGGCTAAGGCGAGGGTCCGTGGCCGATGATGCGGGGCAGAGCTTGTATCTTTATTATCTCCTGTATTTTGTATATTGGTCCTGAGATTGAATCGTCGTCTTCAGATTCATGCTGCGTCCATGTCGGACATATCCACTACAGATATGCTGTGATTCGGGTCCTTGTGGTCGGATCGTACTAGCTTAGATGGACTTGAATGAGATACACTCCACGAATGAAAAAAAAATGATAAGTTATGTCAAGAGCAAATGAACATAGAATCACATAGCAACATCCTGAACGAGCGGTGCCCCTCCCATGGTAGTTGTAGGTCTCTTTCCTTCCTTCCCTAGCCCCGCCGCACGCTCCGCCTCTTCTATCGTATATGCCGGCTCTTTGAGCGCTTTACACCGCCGCTTGTGTACTTTGCTGCGCCAATGCGAGTTGAGAGCTGTGTCGGTTTCGAAGTATCTGCCGGCAAGATGAGCACACTAGATAAACGAGTAGGAAGTAACGACAGCACGCACTTGGCACATTCGACGCAGTAATGCTGCGCCAGACCTGGTTTCTCGAGATCGAGTGGTTGCGCTTCGAGTATTGCGCGGTTCTACATGTGACAACAATGGGAGCTCGTTCAGTGATGCCCTGTACAGGTGAGAAATGAGACGAAGACGCGCTTTAGGATCGAGGTCAATCAGTTGTATCTGGTCGAGATCTTTTGTGCGGGCCTAGAGATGCGCGGTGAGTACAAGGTGACAAAATCGGATAGAGGTACATACTCTTGTGCGCATTCCGCGGTGGACATCTCTTTGTGCGTGATGCACTCTTTTACGACGGAGGCGGCCCATAGCGTTCAAGTGTGCAGGTAACAGGAGGATAGATATTATTTTCTGAGCATCTCAAAAGGTTCCGAGTCCCGACGTTCAGCGTGGCTATATGCGACTTATATGCGCCGCTAATTCCTTCGTAAGTTACCTACCCCTGACCCACCCACAAGACGGACTCGCATACTCACCGTTGGATCCACAATTTCTTTCCATTGGACAACATACTGATGAGTAGCAACCAAAGCGCCGCAGGTACAAGTTGCGACTCCCTAGACCTCAGTTAGCTGATGATTGACGAACAACCGGTCATCTAGATCC